CACACACACACACACACACACACACGTGCACGCACACACACACACACACGCACGCACGGACACACACACGCACACACACACACGCATTAGGCATGCACACTTCGACTCTCATCTTTCTTAAAGCAGTCAGCATCCAACACCTGCCTGACATCCGGTGACAATTAGGCTGTGGACAATCTACAAGTCTTCCCAGAAACCATGCCCAGCTGGGGGGGGAAATGCTAGCAGTCGGCAGAGTTAGCGAGCACCATCGCTGGCTCCAGCCACGTTTCCCTAAATCCCACTTTGCAATCCTACCCTGGAAAATAAATTCTCTCGGCTCAAGCTTGGAAACAGGCAAGAAAGGGCTAGAATAAAAAAAACACAGCACAGCAAACACAGCTGAACTTTGCTGCCATTAGTTCTTAAATATGCATGATGTCATAGGAAAAAAGCCATCACACGACTTTGTAAGAGGCCAGGAAGATCGACGGACCCTGGGCAGGCTGTCAGTGTGACCCGATAACACACATCCAAGTCAGACACATAGCTGCTTTCACTGCTTCTGCTGCAGTCAAAACACATCGCTGGTTAAGCAACAGTCCGACTATTCAAAGACAAACAGCTATTCGGTGCTGTGGTGCTGAAGACCTGCGCGGCCCTCTCAGCACGTTTACCCAGCATGCCTCTGTGCACTGGCGGCACTCTGTGGACGCTGGTTGGTTTCTCACGGGCTGGAGCGGCTTTACATAAAGCAGCCGCATGGTTCTGACTTTTCAAGTCTCTTTCATCGATGGCAAAGGGTATAAGATGCTGTGATAAACCCAGGGTTTTTAGTTTATGTGGTATAAAGTGAATTCCTGACAAAAAACGACACTGCAAACCGTCTCGAGCGCGGCAGTAAAAGTCACGCAGCTTATATACCCTGAGTGAGGCCTGATAAACGGGATTTATATCGGACTCTGTTAGGCCCTCATAAACACAACACTTCTGATTGACAGGCAGCAGGTAACTAAGGATCCTCCAAAGACGTTCGTGGACAGAACGGGAGTCCCTGACGCAACCATGCAATGTGCTGGCATGTGTCGCGGCCCTGGGTCCTGCGGCCATTTCACTTCTGCATCTCTCTGGGGGAAACGGGATGCGAAAGTGGCTTCCTCGACCGCACCGTTACTAAAATGCGTCAAGATGAACGCATCCCGAGTCCCCGAGCCGTGGTCAGAGGAGCGGCGTCCCACCCATTCTCCCCCACGGGCCGAGTTGGGCAGACATCCAGCGCCACACGTCGCCTTCCCAGCATAAACACGCCAGTGCGCCCCCCCCTCCCCCCCACCGCGGACACAAACGCCCAATCGCCCGGCCACCGCAGCCAAGCGATGCTCCGCTCCCTAGAGCGATCCCAGCACGGCCTGCTAAGAAAGGCTGAAGACTAGGAGGCGTCGGCGGTGACATCGGTGACACTGGTGTGGTTGTTCGTGGCTTGCAGAGAAGAGGCCCATTGATAGAGCTTCTCTGTTTCTGCCCACACAGGGAGAGAAATGTGCATTAAGAACAACTGCTCTCTCTCAGGATGACATAACGCGCACCCCAGTCAATCATCACACAACTTTACTGCCTGTAACCACACATATATAGTTAGTCATTCGTAACCCATTTAGCTGAGAAGTTTACTGCTTAACCAAGCAAGCTAAAGTACAATAACTGCATGCAGCTACAGTGAAACCACTCCGGAGAGTTACACTCCGTGTAGCCATGTGGTCTCGGTCCTTGACCTCTAAAGTAAACTACCTCTAGAGAATCAGACACATCGCAGGCCTGGCGCCCGAGCGCGTACGCTGCCAGCGTCGTAAATTCCTGTGCAAGAAACGGACGACTCCTTCGAAAGCAGGCACAGAGAGACGAGTGCGGGGAGAGAGAGACGCCCCTCGCGCACAGAAACCCCACTAAGGTCCTGCTAAAACCTCAGCAGATCTATCGCAAAGCTGCTAAAATCGCTGCCGCCAGCTGAATCGGCAAGAGCAGCAGAAGCGGAGGGTGACATAGCTGAGCAGGCCTCTTATCCCGGCACGCTAAACTGGCACGGTGCCCCGTAAGCCAACACCCGCCTCGCCCCCGTACCCATTCCTCAGGGACGCCGTAACGCGGGGACGCCCCCACCCCCTGCCCTTACCGATCTGGTCTTCGGGGATCAGTGACTCGATGGGGGGGTCCAGCTCAGAGCTCTGCCGCAGGTAGGCCTTCATCTGAGTCATGAACTGACGTAGCGTCTGCAGCAGGTCAAGGCCCGACGTGTGGCTACCACGGTTCTCCTGCAGGAAGCTGACATAGTCTTGCACCAGGCAGCCGAAGTAGGCGCCCTTGTCACGGGCCAGCTCCGCGATGCGCCGCACCGCCCGCCGCTCCGGCGTCATGAACGAGTTGAAGACGCCGCTGACCTTGCGCAGGCGGCCCTTCAGCGCCCGTCGCAGCACGAACGTGCCGCCCACGTGCAGCTTCTTGGACTTGAACGGCAGCGGCACGCTGACCTCCTGGTCGCTCTCCACGCTCATGCCATAGTCCTCCTCTTCCTCCTCCATGTCGTCGTCCTCCTCCTCGCTGCTGTCGCCTGCTGGCCCGTCGCCGGAGGGGGGGCTTGGCCCTGACAGGGAGTAGCTGTGGGAGTATTCCAGGGAATCAGAGGAGGACGTGGAGATGCTGACATCACTCAGCCGCTGGCCGGGCTCTCCCCTGCTGCGACGCCGGGCGTCTGGGCATGCGCCAGGCACAGCAGGGGGGCTAGGGCTCTCGGCAGTCGGGGCGGGTGGGCGACGTTGAGACAGAGCCTTCTCGATGGTGCGCTCATCCAGCGCGATCTGGCATCGCAGGCCATCGGCGTCAGACATGCTGTACTGCTTCTTCAGGCGGGGCGGGGGCACGGGGATGGGGGCACTGCTACGTTTGGGCGTGGAGAAGGTCAGGCCACTGAGCTTGGCCCCCATGATGCCCCGGCGCACGGATGGCGGTGGCTGTGGCTGCGGGCACGTCCAGGCCGCCGTCTCCGGCATGCTCCTCTGTTTCTGCGGCGGAGGTGCGGGCCGACGGGGCAGCGAGCGTGGGGGTGGGGGCCGTGGCGGGGGCGTACGGAGGGCAGGCCCACAGGGGAGCGATTTGGGATCCGGAGGTGAAGCTCCCTCGAGGCGGTGCGCCTGCAGGAAGAGCGGGTTGACGAAGCAGAGTGCCCCGTTTGACTGTCCGCGCTCCAGCTGCGACGGGGCCCTCGTGCGCAGACTCAGGTGAGGCCCCGGGTCCCCTGGAGGCTGCGGGGGTTTAACCTGTGACCCGCGAGAGGGTGAGACGGAGGGATCCTTCCTGCGGCACAGTGAGGACTCCCAGAATCCTGTGATGAAAGAGAGGGGAGGGAGAAAGAGGGATAGAGAGAAACAGGAGAGAGGGAGGGAAGCAGAGAGAGAGGGGGAGATGGGGAGGAGACAGGAGAAAGAGAGAGAGAGAAAAAATGTGAAAAAGAAGGCAGAGAGAAAAACAATGGAAGAAAAGGAAAAAGAGAAAGTTTCAAATATTTAAAGTCAAGAAACATAAAGAGATAAACAACACAAGCAAGAGCATAACAGTAACTTACTCAGATGAGATGAGGTGCAAACAGACCGCAGGCCCTAGAAGTATAATTGCAGTTTCTGTTGATCGCAGGCAGATCCGAGCAGGACGGAGAGACACAAGAAGGGAACTCAGTCCAGCATTACTGGAGTCTGAATCCCAAATGTAGGCATACGCCCATAGGCAGGCTGTGAGTCACACACATGTAAAATGTGGGAGGAGACAGGTGGCTCCGCCCACTTTCTGCAGTTCCACCCAAGCCCCGCTTCCCATTTCCCGTCACGCTGCAGCACAAACCTCTGCTAAATGCTGGGTTTCATTCCAGGAGCAGTGACTCCTGACACTTAAAAAGCGAGACTCCTACTTTGACCAGACGAGTCAGAATCGGCCCGTGAGCTTTGGCACGAGCCCAGGAGAAACGGACCGCCTGTCTTTCCCCTGACAGCGCCGCAGAGAAACCTGAGCCTATCCACCCCCCCCCCCCCCAAGAGCTGCCTGCCTGTGCTGGGCACCGTCCCACTCGGGCATGCTTCCCAGCTACATTTAGCAGCAAGGGAGGGGGCTTGCAGCGGCTAGGCGTGGGGGGAGAATGCGCGACACATGTGGGGCTCTGTCACGCCACAGAACCGGGAAGCTATCGCACTCAGCTAGCATCCGCCAGCCACAGCAGCACAAAGGGAGCTTGTGGAGCGCTGTGCGGCCCCGGAGGTGTGGGCGGGACCCCAAGGGGAGACACTCCGCAGTGCTGGGGGGGCTAATTACACAACATTGGAGTGATGGAGACAACCCACCTTCGCCAGGCCTCCGTGTTAACAGCCATCTTTGCCCTCCCCCTCAGCGGTGCAGCTCAACATAGACAGCACCAGAGGCATGCTGGGATAGGTCTGCACGACTGAGGGACGCTGTACAAATGGAGCCAGCCGTCTGCTGGTCACAGCCTCCATTCCACAAATGGGTCACAGAAAAAGCCCCCAGCACTGACTCACAAGGCTGCCTAATAATAACTCCAGGCTGGTAACTAAATATACCTACTGAAGGTACCGGCCAGGGCCCAGCAAGGCGGGCCGAGACCCTAACACAGGGGCCGCGACCCGCTCTCACTCACGGCACCTTGCATTTGTGCTCCATGCCAAACCCCGCAGGCCTATGGCAGTGTCGAACGCGTGTCCCTGCTCACACTCACACACGCAGCCTGCAGCCACTGTGACAGGTCCAGTGCTCATTTCCGGCAGTTTTTCTTTTCATGCATTGACGTAAAACCTTATATGTAAGTATGGTGGAAAGGTACAAACACCCTGATCTGCTCAAAGTTGTATCTCAGGCTTTATCGGTCACGTACATGATCATACACTGAAATAATGTGTAGTGAAATGCTTTTCCACCTGCTTGCTGCTTGTCAAAATATGAAATACAAAGGAAAAAAACAATACAGAATAAAATAATAATAATAATAATGATAATATAAAGGCAAGAATAATATACAATAAAATAATAAAGGTAAAATGACTGTAAAATAGATAATACTAAATGACTAAAACATAGCAGTATGTCGACAAGTGCAAAAGGTGTACAGTGATCGTGGGATTATAAAGTGCCCTAGTCATGTGACTAGTCATGTGAGAGGGGATCGTTCTGGGTTGGGGCTCTGTAGGGCTGCGGAGGCCCAGGGGGCTGAGCGAGGCTCTCACCTGCCCCTAGCTGGGCCACTTGCTCCAGGTCAGTCTGGGTCTTGGCCGTGGCGATGGCCTCGGGAAGCCTCAGGGTGAATGGCAGGACATCCCTGTCAGGACACAGGGAAGAGTCGGTCAGCTTGAGCCCCGAGGACGGGGAGGGTGGATGCCATTGTGCCAGTGACAAAGGCCGCGTCAGTGACAGGCGCTTCTTTGAAGTAGGACAAAGAGTTTCCTGGGCGGCTGTCTGTTTTCGAGCATGCCCAGTGCGACGTTTGATCACACGGTCGGCGAGGCTACATCCCGAAAGGTTTTGTTCCCACTCAGGTTTGTACTGCAGTACTCAGGTGTGGTCTTATTCACGGCAATAATGCAGGTGGACTCTCCCGCAGCCGACTCCCAGCCGAGAGTGAAACAGCCGGAAACTCCCGGGGGACAGTCAGTCACCTTCCCGCGAGGCACAATGGCGGCAAAAGGGGAGAAATCGCCGTCAGCAAAGCGGCATGATGTTTCTGGCCTAAATGTCGTGGTGATATAGAAGGAGACGGAGCCTCCCGCCTTCAGCACTGCACTCATACTGTACCTCAGCCTTCAGCACTGCACTCATACCTCAGTGGCAGTCGGGGTATCAAGAAATCAAACAAACAGGAAAGAGTAACAATGTCAGACGTCCCCTGAGGAAAAGCAGGCATTTCCTCATGCCTTCAGGGGAGCTGGGGGGGGCGATGTGTGATTGGCCGGGGGCACCTTACCTGCTGATGCAGTAGAAGGCCACCAGGCGGAACAGGTCGGCGAAGCTGATCCCGGATCCCTCCAGAGAGAAAGCTGTGGGGAGAAGGTGCCGGCATGGGCTGGTGTCGTCAACGGCAACAGAGAAACGCCATGGCGATAAGAGCTGGGCCGCTCGGCTCACTGAAGGTGGGCCTGGAGCCACGTAAATAAATAAAGGGATGGTCAGAGCTGGCTGCGTGTCTGTGGGCTGCCCGGAGCCCGATAGAGCGCCCCCCTGTGATGGACCTGAGATCAGCTGCTGGCTTAGCACCGACTCCTCAGTCAGTCAATTGCTGCTTAATAACAAAGTTGCCAGAGCCACATAGAAAATTCACCGCTTATTACGGGATGTTTAGATGGGGTTCTTGTGAAACTAACGGCGACCGTACTTTCTGCAAACCTGGCCCCAGGATAGGGAACAGAATGCGCATCAGCTCCCCTCCAGTGGCGAATTAGCAGCGTCGGAAGTAATAAAACAAGTGTTACACGTATGAGGAGTGGTGGCTGGGGGTTGGGGGATTCCCCGTCAGGCTGGCGAACGGGCCGAAACTGAAGCCCACACATCTGCAAAAACTAGGACGCCAGTAATGCCCTTTATTTCTTTGCAAAAGGAAGACAGCAGCCTGTGTATCAGTGTGGATTCTTAGAAGGCAGAGGAGAAGGTGCCGGAGTTGAGAAACACCTACAGAAACAGCCCACTGCACAGATTCCCCTCAGCAAACGGCGGACTGCCGCAACGCATCGGTGCTCAGTGTGCAGAAAGGGCCGAGCCCCCAGATGTGTGAAGAAGAGAGTGGCGTACTATACTGGCTCTCCCTGATGGGGAAGTCGCTGACGGCTCCGGGCGCCACGTCGTCCACGCGCAGGGACAGCACCTTCCTCTGCAGCCGTGCCGACTTTCTCACGAGGAACGTCTGCAGGGTAGAGGACAGCTCTATAAGACACTGCCACCAAGTCAGTACTCCTGCACAAAGGATACGGTGCGTTATGCTTAAGGAGCAGAGCTCTGGGTCCGACTGAGCCCCAGCCATTACTGCAGCTGAGAGAACATGTACAGCTAATGAATAACCCTGCTGGAAGCAGAGGTTAATAAGAATCAGCCTTAGAACCCCCTTAGTAGTCCAGTACATATTTCTGTTGCGGATACGTGATTCTTGGAGCCTTTCCTTAGAAAACTGCAATAAGTCTGCTCTGCCCCTGGCTTTGGGGTCACCAGCCAATCATTAAAGGGTCAGAATAATCCCTGGGGGGGGGGGCGCTCTCACCCCACAGGGCTGCTGCTGCAGGATGCGGCCGGCCTCCTCGTCGCTGAGCGACAGCAGCAGCCACGCGGCGTGTGTGTGAGCCAGCCTGTCCAGCACGCTCATGCGGCGCCGCAGGGAGTCGTAGCCCGAGTCTCTGGCGCCACTTGTAGCCCCCGGATGGGACTGCAGATAGACGCCGCTCACCTCCCCCTCCAGCCTGTGGGGAGAGAAGGGGAGAGCGTCGCCATGACTACTGAAATAACCCCACAGTACACATCATTCTCCTAAACCGGCCCGTTTCCCAACGGCGGAGCGTCTCGGAGTGCCGAGGTCAGTCCCGGTTTGAGGGGGCCTACTCTTCCCCCAGGTAACACCTGCAGGCCTGCTCTCCCCGCAGGTAACACCTGCAGGCCTGCTCTCCCCGCAGGTAGCCCACCTGCAGGCCTGCTCTTCCCGCAGGTAGCCCACCTGCAGGCCTGCTCTTCCCGCAGGTAGCCCACCTGCAGGCCTGCTCTTCCCCCAGGTAACACTTGCAGGCCTGCTCTCCCCCCAGGTAACACCTGCAGGCCTGCTCTTCCCGCAGGTAGCCCACCTGCAGGCCTGCTCTTCCCGCAGGTAGGTAGGCAGCCTATGTGCATATGGACCTGTTTTTACTACCTTTACACAAAATGCATTCAATTAGCCCCTTTTCACACACCACCACCTGCAGCCCATGTTTTTCTATGTTGACAGGCTATTTCCATCCATCCATTTTTTGTACCCGCTTGTCCTATTCAGGGTTCGTGGAGACTCCAGAGTCTATCCCGGAAGCGCGGGTGCAAGGCAGGGAACAAGCCAGGATGGAGTGCCAACCAATCGCAGAGAACACTCACCATTCACTCACACATGTGCACTTATTGACCCGGTGGAAACTCCACGACGACACGGGGGAACAGGCAAGCTCCACACACATGTGCGGTCCCAGGGGTAAGAGCGCTAAGAACCGCGGCACTGTGCCACCCCCAAGTTATTTTCAAAACCAAAAGCGATCGATTTAAAGTTCAAAGCCAATCACATAATGAGCAATCCTCTACGTTTCTACAGGAATATCACACTGAACATATTCCACTCCCTCACAGCTGCAGACAGATGACATCATGGATGTCTATTTAGGGGGGAAAAAAATGACACCTTGCAGGAAATGTTTGATAAAATCATGTGCTGGGATTTCAAAACAAAACCTGCCAACCTCAGCGGAACAAACTGCTCGGAACTGACATTTCAACAGATTTTCTAAATTACTGCATGGTGACATTTTCCAGAGCAATGCATTTCACATCCTGCCCCGGCGTGGGACAACGACTCCACCTGTGGGTGGACCTGAGCATTGCAGGCAGTAAAATAACACTCAGTCCATGAGGCAGATTCATTAACAGTCCAACAATGATGCGTGCTCTGTTATCAAAGAATTAAAACATAGGTGACTGATGTCTTGCGTGACAAACCTACTAGATCAGTAAACAACAGCATTTATGGGGATTTTCCAGTTCACTGTCACTGTCTAGTCTACATGAGGAAGTCCCCAACTCGGTGGGTGACACACAGCCCCGGGTTCAGAGTTCTTGGAATCCCGTTCCTTGCACAGCCCACTGACTCTGGAGATACAAGCAAAGTCTTACCTAGTGACTCCTTACTCCAGTGGTGGCCAATCAGCCAAGACGCAACCGCTGATCCCCCATTTCCACCCTCCCAAAAATCAGTGAAATATACCATCACCGTTCAGTAGTATTTTCTTCGTAAAAGTAGCTTTAACTGAAAAAGGTTGGATACCACTGCCTTACTCAGGGACTCCTTACTCCGCATCTTACACCTCAAATCCTGTCCGACTGGGTGGGTCAGCCTGACAGACACACACACCGCCTGATGACATACACTGATACATTCAAGGAGGGCACCACAAAGAAGTCTTCCCTGGATTCCCCTGATGGGGGGCGGGGTCGGGGGGGGGGTTTAAATGGGACTCATGTTACACTGATAGCTCATCTTCCAACAGGAAGCACGTCGCACCACAGGAGACCGATACCACTGGCAGCTCAGATCATAGGTGCTGACTGCACATCTGCACTGATGTTTCTCAATAAGGTAATAAAACAGAACTTATACTGAATGGTCCCTGCAGCAGGCAGCTGGGACTCCGGATAAGACTGGGGACTGTAGCTCTTTACAGGACTGTAAACCTTTCACCCTGCCGTGAAGAGCCAGAGAGACCGTCGCACACTCCGGGGGGTCAGCGTAATACACTTACCCTTCCAGGAGGTCGGCGCCGGAGTGCCTGCCCGTGGGCTGGGCCGTCTGCACCATCTCCTGCTTCAGCTCTCCAATCTCCGAGGCGAACGAGTCGATCAGCTGGCGGGGAGCGTCGCGGGGAGCCGAGGGGCGAGGAGGCGAGTGGAGAGAAAGAGAGAAGCGTGAAGGTATAAGGATCTGCATTCCTGCAGGCTGCCACTGCAGACGGAGAGGCTCGCTTACGCACATCCTGGTCCGCGGGACTCCGGGGAGCATGGGAGAGAAAAAAAATGTCAAATTTCCTGTACAAACCATACAGCCGTCCGCAGGAGCGACTTACAGGAAAAGGGAAGCTTGGAGGCATCAGAAGGGAGAAAATAGAGGAAAGGAAACATAAAGCCACAACAGCATCGAGCGGCAGGACTTCCCAAAATCCACTGGGACAGCGTTCTGCTGGGCAGATAAGCTGGTACAGAGCCCCACCCAAACTGAGCTCTTATCGCCAGTTTGACTGTAACTATGCTAACGGGCACTAATTATCTGTTTTCCTCTTCCAGCATAAACATCCTGAAAAGCAAACGCTGGCATGATCTCAGAAAGCTCTCCATCCAACATGATCCATGCTGTCCAGCAGAGGGCAGCATGTAACAGAGCAGCTCCCCTTTCACCTTTGGTGATGTCAGGTCTTATAAGCTGAAGCCCACACTGCTTCAAGGGAGGCGGGGGAAAAGGGGGGGACGACCAGAACTGAGTGCTGCCCCATGAACAGTTAGTGTCAGTGTTCATTGTACTTTCATTTAACAGTAACCATGGGATTGGTCATGTCTGGATTGCATAATAAGGATCTCAACACATCAATTAGAGCCCTGTGTTCCCTGGGATTGGCTCCAGGCCACCATGTGACCATGACTAGATAACCAATTAAAGGATGGATGGATATAAACTTTTGTGCAAAAGTTTTAGACCGTCAGAGAATATGTGTGTCCTGTTACTTAATTCAAGTAACAGGAAGTCAATGATATCTTGTTGGATGAATAGATGAAAACCACTTTGGTTTCCAAACCTCTCCTCAGGGGCACCTAACTAATTGATTAGTTATTTAACTAACTCAATGGGGTATTGATTAGCCAAACAAAGTGGGGCAGTGGTTAAATGAAAAAATACACAGGTATATTGGATGGTTGCCACAAATACTGATGTGACTTTTGCAGAGGTTTTGAATTGGCTAGGCTAATACACTTTGACATACATATCATAGTTACACCAACATGAAGATCATTTAAACATCATTCTCTTTCACTGCCTGAGATCATTTCCCCCACCATATATGGTAAGGACTCATACATAGCTCCTACTGACAGTGGTCAGATAACAGGAAAAGCGGCAGGTTACAGGTCCTTCTGCAGCCCCATTAACAGCGCGGCCCAGAGTGTGTTACTCACCCTGCTAAGCTGCACCCACAGCCAGCGAGAGAAGGTGCACTCACGTGTGATACATTTACACGTGGATGGTAGATGTAATACCGACTCATGACAGGAGGGGGCGCCCTAGTGCCCTGCAGCCAAGAGAGTGGAGTTTCCCAGGTGGGCACCCGATGCCATCCGGCACACGTCACTGCAATGTGGGATTGTCTCTGGCATGTTCCTGCTGTCCGAGTCCCATCCTTCGCTCACGAAATCTGGGAGCCCGGTGAGCCGAGGTGCTAAGCTACAGCTCTGGATATGAATGAGAAGGCCTGATTCACACAGAGGGTCTCAGAGCGCCCTCCAAAGGCAGGTGATGGGCGTAACTGTCTGGGGTGAGATACACCAGCATTGCTGGCATGCGGCTCGTTTTTTTTACATTATTTTTATTTAGCAGATGCTGTTATCAAAAGCGACGTACATTTCTGACCGGAAGCTCCAGGCCCCAATGGTGAAATCACTCTGCTGACCCTGGGAACTGAACTCGTGAGATGCAGAGCGCAGCATTCTGACCCACAGAGTCACAACGCCGTCACCTACCCTATTAACTTCGTCAGCATCCACACTAACACCAGAACGCAAGGGGGGGCGCAGCTAAACACACGCTGCCAGCAGTGTTAAACGCCTCCCAGCGCAGGAGAGACGCAGGAGGCTCACAGTGACAGATAACCATCGGTGCTCAGCAGACAGCTTTCTCAGTTCCTCTCATGTTTTCTCGTCCCTGCACATTCATCACTTCATCAGCCAATTTTCAGAAACCGGAGTTCCGCGTCCCCCACAAACCACACAAACAGCTGGCAGAGGGAATGTCTGAGAGGAACGTGTCCAGGGCTCCGTGCGCGGCGTCCCCTGCCTGTCGAGAAGCATCTAATCAGCTGTGTGACGTTATGTTTCCCAGGCTGATATTGCTGGGCACACTGGTCCGGAGCACACGCCTTATCCTGTGACAACACCCACACACAGATCTAAGCACTGAATATTCCCTCTCTGTTATTAATAACACTGTTTTTGTTAATGTCTTCTTTGTGTATTTAAAAAGTCTCCTAAGTCTCCCACCATCTCCTTTCAATAAATCCAATAAATAAATAAAAAAAAAAACACATTTGGTTTCCCTGCATGAATTGTGTGGCTGGTCTAGTTGTGTTCAGATTTCCTGTCAGGTGACGCGAAATCCCGTGTCAAGTTTTGGGAGCCGCGGATCAAACGGCTCAAGTGCATAATGGGTTCCACATTTTAATGCACACTTGAGCCTGAAAAATCTGTAAGACGTTTCATATGCAGAAACGTCTGCTGGTCGTGGGGCATGAAAGTAGCTGGAAACTTGGAAGACAGATTAATAGGAACCGATTTGGATCATGGGAGAGGACCGTTTTGAGGGAGTCGGCAATACGCTGGGGCCAGGTAGATGCACACAGGCCCTTTCTCCCTGCGGTAAAGAAGGGTCGTGTGAAAGCTTACGTAATGTTGCGTAATAATAAACAGCAGCTGTTCAAAGTGCCATCTGAAGGTATTCTTCCCCTGAGGAAAGGATCTGAAATGCCTGACCATTAATGCGGCACTTTAACAAGAGGAGAAGAAAGCGGCTCTCTGCATGAACGTAATCAAAGGGCTGCGGTCAATGGGAAAGTATGTGTGAGTGAACAGAGGCTGCTTTCAGCGCGGCTCCGCTGAGAGGGAGCATTCAGGCGGAGCACGGGGGCGGGGGACACCGGCGGAGAGGGTGTTCCAGCAGGAGGCGCCGCAAAGCCACACCGACGGGGGCCAATGCGGAGCCACACCGCTGGGAGGGCACAGCAAAGTCACACTGATGGAGGACGGTACAGAGTCACACCAATGGAAGTACGGAGCCACACTGATGGAGGGGGAGTGGCAAGGTCACACCAACAGGGGGCAGTTCAGAGTCACACTGACAGGGGGCAGTACAGAGTCACATCGACAGGTGGTGATACAGTCACAACAACAGGGGGGGGGGGTCACAGCGATTGGGGGTGCCCCGTACAGCTGCCGTGACAGGGAGAGGTACAGAGTCACACTGGCAGGGGGTGTTACAGAGCCACTCCAACTGGGTGATCCGCAGCAACAGTGAGGGCACACCGAAAAAGGGCTGCGCTGTTCCCCACCAACAGGGGGCAGTACAGATCTCCACGGACACCGAGGTTACAACAACAGAGAGCTATACTGGTCCCCACCAACAGGGGGCAGTACTGAGCCTCTCTCACAGGGGGGAGATACAGCCCACACAACGACACAGCAAGACCATAGTTACCAGGCTCACTGTGAGGGAAGGCTGCTTTGTTTGTAAGTAATTAGGGCCTCCAACACTGTGCCTTGGGGCAGTACTTTCACCAAGCCTATAAATATCCTGTTTGGGGTTGCGGGTCTGCCATTTGGAGAATTACAAGTTACACTTCAGGGTTTCTGTTTCACGCTGCATCTTCAGGCCCCGTCGCTCAGAATCGAGCTGTTTTTCAGTGCTCCAGCAGTCCGTGCCCATAGCTGTAATGCAGCTTGACACCAGGCTTTAAAAAAAAGGCTCCCTGCAAGGACCCAGCCTTCCGCTTTACGGCTGGCCAGAGACTGCCTGCGACACGGCGAGCCACACAGCTTCACGTACGGCGAGCCCGCACAGAGCGGACCGGGAACGTGGCAGCCCCGGGAGCTGGGGGAGGCACATGGGCTGCGGGAGAGAGATCTGAACTTTGGGCTGCGCTGCCTGGGTGGCTGAAATGTCACTTTGACTTCCAGGCCCCACTCTGAAGCGCTTGAGTTACACCTGCTAATTGCTAACGTATCAACACACAGCTGGAAACAGGAGTAACTGCCATGAAATTAATTACGTTTATAGTGTCTTAGTGCAATTAGAAGTCTGTCCCAGTAGCAAATGCTGCCCCATAAAAATTCTTTATGTACTTTTCTGAAGCTGAGTAGGGTGACGAGCTTCAGTGGCACA